GGTTATAATGCTGCGCCTTGTACAAAATCTTGAAAGCTACTTCTCTAATGGCAGACCAGATTATATCTAGAGGTTATGACATCCTCTGTATTTGAATGAGAATGATCTATCACGTAAGTAGTGCTAGTCGCTTCTAGTTAAATAAGAAACATTAGTTTGAAACATTGGTGTACTGAATCCTTAGTGAACTACTAAGTGGAAATACATCTCAAGAACAGATATCACTTTAATCAACTCGAAAATCCAGTGAAAGGCGACCATTAAGCACCTAGAAGCAAGTACAGACACTGCATTTTGTCTTTGAATTAATAAATAATGTTTTCATTGTGTGAGCACATCGAGTCCAGTCTGTTTACTTCTTTGCTTAAACTCGGTTAGTTTAAACAAAATTCAGTGCAACTCCTTAATAGGAAACAAGCTATAAACATTATATTCACATCTATTAGCTGTCCAAATTCTTAAAAGGAAGAAATGAAAAATAGGGTTTTACATAACTTACTGATCTGTTTGGCATTTGTTACTAACAAAAAAAAATGTGATTAATTTTACGTAAGAGTTTATTTACTGCATGAACAAGTAAAACTAAAATTTAGAAAGTATATGTTCACAAAAGCTGTAAGATTCATGCTAACATTTTTTGCGAGATAATTGATGAACATTTTTTAGTATCTCTTTGTATTTTGCGATGGCTAAAGCTCTATTTTCTCAATCATGTTGCTATAAGCCTTATAACTCGCTAATGCACTACTTTCACAATCATGTTGCTATAAGCCTTATAACTCGCTAATGCTCTACTTTCACAGGGATGTTGCTATAAGCCTAACAAATCGCTAATGATCTACTGTCACCAGCATTTTGCTATAAGCCTAATAAATTATAGTTTTTGGTTAAGAAAAATTAGTGTTTAGCGCGCCATCTATTGAATAATAATGATAATGATAATTTCATTTAATACTCAGTCAATGAAAAAAATCATTTCCCTTGGCTTGTTGCATCATCTATTGGAAAAATTATAATTAAAACTAATACTAAAACATTTAACGTTTATCAGATTATTCATTTTCGTTCTAATTTTGTTTAATTTTTAATATTTTTTTTTTGTTCATAGATACAAGTCCTCCGGTGGGTCACTGAAATCTTACGGACTTACAAGCCTAAAATTAGGAAATAGATTCCATGCGATGGACAAAGCACCTATAGCTCATTTTTAATTAACAACCACAAATATCTAACATTATATCTGTTGAGATTTAACTGAAAATAAATTAAAGTAATAGACGTGACACAGTACGAACACGATACAACAGGTTGTATCACGCTTACTGCAAAATCAGGGTTACGTGATTGTTGTTAAACGCAAAGCTACACAATATGTCATCTGTGCTGTGCCCACCGCGAGCATCGAACCCAATATTTAACGTTATAAGCTCTCAGTTATACCGTTGAACTCATTTGTAAACACTGACTTATGAGTGAAACGTGTTGAAATGTCATAATTATCACGTTGCTGTCCATTTCTCACGCGTTTTAGTAGTTAGCATGTGGGGCTGTGGATCGAAATTAATGCTGCTGAAAGACGCTCCTTCAGTTTCAGTTGTGAATATGTTACAAAAGTGACAGTAAATCCCATCATTCTGTTCAAAAACATCTGGCAAACTCCTTATGGCGACAAGTGCTGCCTGGACGCTATCTCCCTTCTGGTCACTAGTTCAAAGTTAGAAGTGGCTAATATCTGACCGTTAAAGGTGCCGTTAAAGTAGAAAATTCCAATTGTGATGACATTAAACGTCCATGTTAATACATAAGACAAGTTACCTCTAGGCATAACCGATGTAAAAGTTTTGCACGCCCTCTTTGTTTTATATTTATTTTTTCTACAACAGCGTCACTATTTATTTGTAAAGCTACCTTAGATGATTCGCTAAACATTCTTGATTTAAGGAACGTTAAAATTAATATTTTAAAGCCTTTCATTTGTATTTAGTATAAACACGAAAAATGGCGTTTGATATAATATAAATTCCCTCGCACATAATTAACAATAAATTACAAGTGGTCGTTGTATAAATTATGTATTTTATATATATTACGAACCGTGGTATCTGTCCAAGCATTTGTCTCTCTCCTGTTTGAAAAAAGCTCAATATTCACTTTTGAAGTGTTTGTTTGCTTGTAATTAAGCACAAAGCTACACAAAAAGCTATCTGTGCTCTGCCCACTACGAGTATTGAAACCCGATTTCCAATGTTGTAAGTCCACAGACATACCGCTGTCCTACTGGGGGCTTTGGAAATGACGGGAGAAAAGGAATAAATAATGTTAATGCAAAATTTTATTTTGCCAGCAGGATATTTTACACTAAATTGTTAAGAATTAATCACATTATCATTCACATTTCAAAATGTGACGGAACTTGAACAATAAAAATGTTTATTTGTCTTATGTTATTGTTGAAAGGCTCTTAGCTGAACAATTATTTTTCGCGGTAGGTTGTATAAGTAGTCCAGAGCTTTGGCTCTGAGTGAAACCAAGAATGCAATAAAATTAACTTTTCTAAAGTCTATGAAATAATTTAAATTGATAGATTAACTTAAACTTTTCCAATCACTGGGGACGGGTACTTTTACTTGTCAAGAATAAGAGGTGATGCAAACATCGCACGCCGCCAAGTCCTTGTCTTACCATAATTTTTAAATCATCGTTTGTTTTTCACTAACTGTCTTCTTTTTGTTACAACAATTGTTTGAGATGTTCTTAGGCTTATAAAAACACGTGACAGTGATCATGTAAGGATTGGACTTGAAAGATGTGCCACTTTTACATTAATGTACAGAGGAGGGAATACGTTGTATTGAATGTACAGAGGACTGAATGCGTTATATTGAATGTACATAGGACTGAATACGTTGCATTGCATGTACAGAGGACTGAATACATTGTATTGAATGTACAGAGGACTGAATACGTTGCATTGCATGTACAGAGGACTGAATACGTTGTATTGCATGTACAGAGGACTGAATACATTGCATTGCATGTACAGAGGACCGAATACGTTGTATTGAAACGATTTTGCCGATCCACAGTCAATGTCGCCAAGTCCGGTCATAAATCTTAGCAATATCCCTGTAGCATAGTTTTTATTGTAAGAGGTTCTGTTGAAAGGCTGCCATGTTCAAAGCACACCATCTCTCTTTTAGCTCTTGATAATCCACCTAGTGTATGAGGACAATGGTTTCCCAGCACCCATTTTAACAGTCCAATTGCACAGAAACTTATCCGGTATGACTTTATATGAAATAGAATGAATACCCTTTTTTTTTATTACGCAGCTGCTTAAGATATGCAGAGCTTTGAGGGATATGACTGGAAGTCTTATCTTGGTGAACCCGTTCCCTGTTGGCTTCGTTTCTTTCTTGATTATGTGGAGCACTGTTGCCCCAGGCACATAGACGGCTTTTGCCACTGATCTTTAAAATAGATCTGTAACAAGCCATACTACAGCCACGGTCAGCTAAATGTGGCGTCTTGTAACAGGTGAAAATCCAGAATATGGGTGGTTCTGTCCCCAGGTTCATCTATATTCTTTGTTTTCCAATGCTTTGAAGTATACAGGATATCCTCGTTTTGGAAATTCAAATCTCCGATATGAGAACATCTGTCCGATTTGAGTGTAGGGATATTTTGCGTCGAAAAGGGTTGTTACGTATCTTTCTCAAAAGCGCTCAATTTTCGGTGAAATAACACTACATACGAAACGTCAAACAAAGTCAAAATGCAGTTTTAATAAAAAGTCTTCCACCACGATTTTATATCGGCTAGCTGATTAGCATATTCAACTCAGTATGACACCAGACAAGAAGAAACGCGTTTCCAATTATTTTCAGTTATGAAAGACGGAAAATATTCATTAACTTTATTGAATTTAAGACAATATATTTCTTCTCACTGTTAGAAAAAAAATGTTGCAAGCAAAAAGTATTTGTCATTCAATTATAATATATTTGTTTGTTTCTTGAATTTCACAAATAGCTATTCGAGGGCCATTTGCGCTCAGTTACAAGAAATCAATTTTTGAAATATCCAAGTGGTTGAGATAAAATCAGTGCTTCAGTTGCTTGAAAGTTTTAGTTCAAAAATATAATTACTGTAAATATGTTTTGGCTAGCTCCACGACTTCGTTTTTAAAAATAATAAACATCAGAACCTGAAAAAACGAACAAGAAACACTAAACTAGTAGGTATATTCGGTATCAGAACTTAGTTCACATTTGTAGCCTCTATTACACACCCGGCGTATATATTTCGTTCTTGATATCGTTTGTTAATTTGTTAACTTTATTTTATTCATGTTTAAAGCCGGAACGTTTACTTTTTCGATTATGAATCCTCGAAATAAAAGTGTAATTGTAAGAAATTGAAATATATATCCACTAGTTTGTGTCTGCACCCTATGTTCTTGTCGCTGTTGTTTTTTTAAACTGACCAACAGATTAAGAACGTTAACACCTGAAAACTGATAAGTTTAAGAACATAAGAAACCTCTCCATAAGAATACTGTAGCGTTTATTTGCAACTGTAAATTTATTTTTAATATATGGGCAAGTAGAATCAATTGTTCATGGTGCTCATCAGATTGAATTGTTGGGCTATTTAAATCGCTAGTAAGTCATGAAAGACTGTAATAATAATTGCTAAAAAATTAAGTTGGGCTTTTTAAATAGTAAACGTACTTTAAGCATACGGTGAGTAAGCTAAAGTTATTAATTTTATTTCAAAGAACATGTATAAATAGACGGGAAAATAGTAAATTCGGTTATATTTGATTTACATAAAGATTGCCTTTCTCTAACTGAGCGCCCTAGAATTAGTTTAAACCACGCATGTGTAATTCGAAGATTAAACTTGAAATACATACTTACGCTACTCTAATGGCCAGTTATTTTGTTGTCTCCTGGTGGCTGGTTTGAGAAGCAAAATATCGATCAGGTCTCTTTTTACAATTCTGCAGTGGAAACCAGACAAGGGAGGACACGCTTACAAAAGAGACTGCATTTTCAACTGTGGAAGACTGAAAACAATAATTATTAGTATACATTAAATTAATTGGTTTTTGTCTGATTAACAATACAATAAGAATAACGAGTTAATTGTTTAGTGACGTCACAATGCCTTACCAGTTAACAAGCCAAGGAAAACCAATCGAAGTGTATTTGGTAAGTATACGAATCACTCTTACATATTTTAACACATACTTAGATAGTCTTCCTTTACTACAACTAATCAACTGTGACAGTTAACGCAATATCTTATTTTTTTGATTTAATTTTTCTTTTCTTCGTTTATCTGCCAAGTTTACTTGAAGTGGGATCACTTATTTTCCTGAAACACATAAAGATAAGATAGTTTAGTTCATTGTTATCTTATATATAAACATATTTTAAAACAAGTGAATCACTCGCAAACGACAGTCGATTGGATTTATTGTTTTTTGGTTCAGTTTAATCACTCTAAGTACTCTAATTTACCAGTATCGTTACGGAATTTCTGTTTTGTTTTATTTCCGTTTTCATGCATGATGTCTGCAACATAAAAGAAAGAAAAAAAATTAGCTACTTAATGTGATAAAAATGGCAATCTAAGGCCATTATAAAAGTACTTTCTAAACATTACTTCATTTACAGTAACAATATGCATTCAGAAAGATGTGTTACCATGGTGATCTGTGTTGACCTTTGTTACCTCAACTTCGTGCTGTTAACCGTGTAGTAGACATATATTTTGTCTGTAAATATGTTGTAACTTAGAAAGTGAATGTGTAATAATACGTGTAATAATATTGATATCAAAATATATAAATAATCAGTGTAGAGTATTCTTTATTCAGATATGAATTTTTTCTAAATTTCCATAGACTTGTTTTACATATAGTTAGTGTCTTCACGTTAAACTGAATGTCCAAAGGTTATACATATACCCTAATCGGGTTCCCCAGTGGGGTCAGCGGTAAGTTTCTATACATACAACGCAAACATTTAACGTTAGATTCCTCGCAGTGAACAGAACGCAGATAGCTTACTGTGTAGCTTTGCGCTAGAAACAACAACTAAAACAGCATGCCCTAATCCTTTGCTTAGGTAAAGGTTGCATACTACAACGGTTGTCCAATGGAAGTTTGTACCAGTTTTACTTTGTGTCTATTCCCTGCAATGGAGTAAGTCAATTTCAAGAGGTGATATGGATGCCTGTGCAAGTTAGTATGAGTTTGGAGGTTCTCCCCTTTGACTACGCTAATATGATATAGGCGTTGACATAGGTAATATAGGGGTAATGAATCTTTGGAAAAGCATTTTGTGCAAGGGACAAAAATGCTAGAAAAATCTACTTGTCCCTTCTCTTCTCACAAAACACACAGAAAAAGTATAATATAATTTTTTTAGATATTGCTTTTAAAATTCTGGGATAAGTAAAAACTGTTAACTTATCGTGATATCTACATTAAATGCGTAATTTTAAATACAAGATACGAAGGAACTGTACGCAGACGCAAAGTGATTATGTTTGAAAAAGTTTCTTATTCATAAAATGCGCAATCACTGAAACACTGATTATTTTCGCTATGATCTTTGTCTGTTGCCACTTATTAGATTTTGTTTACAGCACACGAAGGATGAAACGGATAAGAGTATTAATAATCATGTTTGAATTTTATATACACATGTGAAGAGCTTAGATGCTAAACACTATAAACCCAAATTTGTTATTTTGAGAAAATCAGCTTTAAAAAAATGCTATTAAATCAAAAATGGGCTAAGTATTTAATCAAAACATTAATCAAAACATTTAATCAAATTTTACAAAGTATAATTCCTTTTTGGACAAAATGCTTTATATCCATACGCTTTTTCAGTCAAATAGATGTTTCGATATTTGCAGTGGGCAGAGCGCAGATAGCCCTTTGTATAAGTTTGTGCTTAATGACAAAAAGAAAAACAAACAATCCACTAGCGTAATGCCTTTGGCAGCTCAGTTTGTCAGGAATGGCGTATAGTGCGTTTTGCTTTTGTTTATTTGTTTGTCGAATTTCGCGCAAAGCTACACGAGGGCTATCCGCGCGAGCCGTCCCTAATTTTGAAATGATAAACTGGAGGAAAAGCAACTATTCAAAACCCCTTACTACCAACTATTTGGCTACTCTTTACCAACGAATAGTAGAATTGACCGTCACATTATGATACCCCACGGCTGAAAGAGCGAGCATGTTCGGTGATGAGCTGCGTTTTTGTATGTTAGCGTGTCATTTATATTCGTTCATATACTTATGGTTTTGAACATTTAGTTATTAGGAATTTACAGCGCAGCACATAGAATACCCCATGTACGAACTACTAAAGAAATCGTAATTTATATTAATGACGCCATGAACTAAGATTGGATATATATATATATATATATATAACAGTTTGTAGCCTTTTGTTATTTTTATTATGCTGTACATTCTGTGTACAGCTAACGGTTAAATGTTAATGGACATCTATTTAACAATATCGTTTCATTAATTTAAATGTATTTATTACTATGTGTATATGTGACTGAGTGTTTGTGAATTAAGGGGATATATATATATATATCTGTGTATATAGTTTTGGTTTGAGGTACGCATTTTTAAATGGTCGTGTGTATGTGTCATACTTTTACAGTTTAGAACTTCCAGTAAATTGCATGGCTCCCAGTATGTCTACCTGGAGTATTTCATAGCAACAGAACGAACAGTATGGAAAAACTCTTTGTACAACGGGCAAAGTATAACAATAAAACTTATTGTCCCAGACATAGGGTGATATGATTCCACACCTCTGTAATGTAAATAATTACTGGATACCGCATTAGGTCTGATATAAAACTAGGGTATCTCCATGATTCGCTCTCTTAATCTCTTATCCAAGGTTGTTCTTGATATTAGTTTTTATATAAGTGTTTCACTTCTGCTCGCCAGCCACAGCAGCAGTTGCAGTCATTCTACCAAATAACTGATGCCTGTCAACTAGCTGGGACTTGCATTATTGTGTACTTTGCTGTCAGTGTTTGAAATATTACTCTACATAACATTTCTGGAACTTGATTCTATTACTATATATATTTTAAACAGACAGGATGTGTCCAGCTGTGAATTACTTTAAATCCTGACTTTATGGAGTCATTCATGGTCATGACTAGTGCAGGTGTGTCTGTCTCAGTCTGTGGCCAATACAATCATTGTCATAGCTAGCAGCTTATACCACCACCTAAGTCTAACTATTAATTGGTTACTTTATATATTATTTCATTACTGATTATTATTACTATTAAATAATAATCTGCTGCTGTCTTAAGGGAAGTCCTGAGAAGGGAAGAAGGGTTGTTTGTAGTGACAACATAGATACTTTTCATTGCTTGTTCCTCACAGTTGACAAACTAAATATGTACAAAGTTTCCCTTTTTAATAATGAGACTGATTCGATGACGAGGAACCCACTTTGAGACTAATAATGGCTGGAGACGGCTTGAATGGGTAATGAAGAAAAACTTTAATATAAGTTTAACATAACAGCAAATGTACAACGTTTCGACAAGTACCTGATG